GTTTAGAGAAAAGTTGTTTAGTAGAGCTGCCCTAGAAGGGAGACAGATTCTGAGGAAAACAGGTGGCATTACTTTGCTGAGTGGAGATCCATTCGACTCCAGTTAACAACAACGTCAACCAGACTGAGACAAAATCCAGAATCTTCTATCGCAGAGAGTCATATATTCTGCAACAGATGAATTGTTTCCCCATGAACAAAACACAAAGGTGACTCATACAATTGGAGCAAGGATTACAGCAGCCCTGCCCAACCCTCAAGGCTTCCCAAACAATTTTCAGCATTGATTCCTTTGCAATCCCCACCTCCCGAAAGCTACTTTCTAAATACTCCTGTTCCCTCATGGCTGTTGACATGGAAACTGGTATTAAATCAAGTGGTGCACTGAAGAACTCGGATCCATTCTTCCATGGCTCAAAATGGGCATAGAACAATCTGAATGAGACCCAATGGCAAAAGAAGACGATTTGGTAGTAGAGCTTCTACATTACATGATAAATGTCACTTACTACCCCCCGAACGATTGAAGGGATGAAAAGCGGTCCATCAAGTCATATTGACATATATGTCCTTTATCCATGGCCCCTCCCCTTTCTGTCTACAAAAAAAAAAAAGAGTCTCAAAAGCCAGATTCCACCATCTTTTTCTAGCAACGTTATCGGGGAACTGAATAAAGAAATGACATCCCACGAAGACCAGGCTCTATGGAGATCCAGCAAGCCTCCACACCTTGTCCCATCTCCAGAACCGATCATGCTGCCTCCTCTTTTCAGAGAAGACCAATCTGGGTCCACTCAGTCTTGCAATGGCTGGACAAAGTTGGAAGGAAAGACACCTGTCCTTGTGCCATCACCTTCAATGAATCCAACCTGGAAGGAAAACATCTCATGAGAACAAGAAACCACAGATAAAAAGTAGATGCACGTTAGTCTCTGATCCCAGTTTGTTCCCATGGGAAAAATGACAAGAACTGGATGTGAAGCAACCCTGCTTTATTAGATCTGCAGCTATGCAAGAGGTTCTGCTGAATTCCCTTTTTTGAGCAGAGGAAAAAGGCTTGGGAAAAGCAGGGAATACAATAGAAAATAGAATAGAACAGAACAAAATAGGAATAGGAATAGGAACAGAACAGAATAGAATAGTTGGAAGGGACCTTGGAGGTCTTCTAGTCCAACCCCCTGCTTAGGCAGGAAACCCTAGACCAGAGGTCTTCAAACTTGACAGCTTTAAAGACTTGTGGACTTCAACTCCCAGAATTTCTCCTCCAGTCATGTTAGCTCAGGAATTCTGGGAGTTGAAGTCCACAAGTCATAAACTTGCCAAGTTTGAAGACCCTTGCCCTACATCATTTCCGACAAATGGTTATACAATCTCTTTTTTAAAACTTCCCGTTTTGGAGCATTTATAACTTCTGGAGGCAAGTTGTTCCATTGATTAATTGTTTTATCTACCAGGAAATTTCTCCTTAGTTCTAAGTTGCTTTTCTTCTTGATTAGATTCTATTCATTGCTTCTTGTCCTGCCCTCAAGTGCTTTGGAGAATAGCTTGACTCCCTCTTCTTTGGGGCAGCCCCTGAGATATTGGAGCACTGCTATCATGTCTCCCCTAGTCCTTCTTTTCATCAGACTAGACATACCAAGTTCCAGCAACTGTTCTTTATATATTTTAGCCTCCAACCCTTTAACCATCTTTTTGCTCTTCTCTGCACTCTTTCTAGAGTCTCAACATCTTTTTTACATCGTGGTGACCAAAACTGGATGCATTATTCCAAGTGTGACCTGGTATCAAGGATATCACTATTTTCAAAGAGGATTGTACATCTCACTTCTCTCAGTTGCTCAGGGAGGTTTTGTTTTGCCCTCCTACTTCATTTATTATTGAGTTCACCTTTTCCAAGCTGGCACCTTCTAGTTACATTGGGAGTTCTAGTCCCAACACATCTGGAAGGCACCAAATTAGGACTGGTGTTTCAAAACCTGATGTAAAGGCTGATGGTTGCAAAAGCTGGCAGGTTGTTTTCATTTGCCTAGTAAAATAATGGCTCTAACCCAGACCCCTAAATGAGAATTTCACAATCGGGAAAGTTGGAGCATTGTTGTCAGTGGCTCTGGGTAAGCCAAGCAAGGAAATTATGGGAAAGCTAAAACTATTTTTAACAGGATCTTGCAAGTCTGATTGTGCTCAACCACCTCAATTTTCTTATAATTTATTGAATGAGGGATGTGCCTCTCTGAGCCACTTCTAGCTGTTCTCTGGCTGCTCTGGACTCAATAATCGTTTCATCCCCTTTTGACTAGCCAAAAGCTTATGCACATCTCCATCAAGGTCATTTTCTTAACTCTTTCTGCATGTTGAAAATTTAGCTCTCGTTTCTCCCCAAAGTGGCTCTTGAAAGTTAGTGATCTAAAGATAAAATGAACTTCTGAGATATTAAGTCAAGGGCTGCGGGTAAGCAGAAGATAAATTTTGGAAGGGAAGACGAGCAAAAATCATAATCTAGATGAAAATGTGAAGAATGCTTCACATTTGCAAGAATGCTTCCCAAGAGGTTTCTCTAAAGGACAACCTTCTCTTCTGAATCTAAGAGAAAAATTGTATTTCTATACTAATCCGGTGAGGAAAAGCAGCAATACTGACCCAATTTTGTTCGTCCTCTTCCCGTGTTACTACGATGACTTCGCCCTTAGAGAAAGTCAGCTCGCGGGCCTTGTCCCCTTTACAGTCAGCCAGAGCCTTGACTCGCTTTAACCGTCCTTTGGCCTGTGATGGGCAGAAGAGTCGCTATCAGTTTTATGATACGATCCCTTGCTTCCCCAGGTGGCTTTTATGGCGGAAGAGGCAGGGAGGTGACAGCGGGCGCTGGGTGCAAACAAATCTGCAGGATAGTAGCATGGGTTGTTCTCTGCCCTAATGAACTTTCAACAAATTTCTCTTAAGTTGCTTTGATCATAGGGCACCGCCTAGGCAATGTATGGACTTTAATTCCCAGAATGTCATGCCCTATTGGAGACTGACTCCGAGGGAGAGGAGGAACAGCTGACAGGGGGTGGAAGTGTGGCTCCGGAGGTTGTGGAGGAGGCTGGGGAAGGGCAGAGGCTGGCTGGGCAGTCAGAGGAAGACCCAGGCCCATCCCCTCTCTATCCTAGGGCATGCAGGGAGGAGAGGATAAGGGAGAGTCTACAGGGGAAGAAAGGGCCTTGATCCTCTTCATGGGCTGCAGCTGTGAGAACTGGTTAAAAAGATGGACATGCGTATGGGCCAGTGCTGGAAACAAAGCATGGAAATATCTCTAGTTCCCCAGCTGGCATAAGCCATCGCTGAAAATTCTGGGAGAAGTCCATACATTTGGGCCCAGGTTGAAAGAAAAGTCAAGACTCAATTCCTAAAGATTTAATGGGTGTGATATTCACGTCATTCTGGCAGTGGTGGTCTTTATGTTCCTTCAGGATGCACTACAGGTAGTCCTCGACTTACAACAGTTCATTTAGTGACCATTCAAAGTTACAACCTCACCGAAAAAAGTGACTTATGACCATTTTTCACACTTAACAACCTTTGTGGCATCCTCATGATCCTCTGATCAAAATTGAGATGCTTGGCCACTGACTCATACTTATGACCGTTGTTGTATCCGAAGGTCACATGATCACCTTTTGCGAACTTCTGACAAGCTAAATCAATAGGGAAGCCAGATTTGCTCAACAACCATGTTGCTAACTTATCAATTGGAGTGATTCACTTAACAGCTGTGGCAAGAAAAGTCGTAAAATGGGGCAAAACTCACTGAACAAAAATGTCTTACTTAACAACAAGCTGTAAAGGTTGGGGACTGCTACACTAAGGAATTTGGTAAGGAAATATCTCTGAACTGATGATACAACAGTTCAAGGTCACAAGTTGTTACTATGTCTGATTTTTTTTTAAACGGGCTCTCATTTTTTTTTTGTCTTTGTCTCCTCTTTGATAATCTTGGCCGTAGGGACACTCATATATTTTATATGCACAGACATAAATGAACAGCAACAATTTTAGCTGGAGGAGTCATTGCTTTAAAAATGGAAAATTGACACATCGGCATATGTGTCATAATTGACAGGGCAGCCTTTCAGATCCTGGGACCGTAACACACAAATGGGCATTCAAAGCCAATGGCTGTCACTTGCCAGCACAGTATTACTTCTATGCCTGCTACGGTCTACGAAACACATGGCAGATCCATCACTGCCTCTTGGCATGGGTTCTTATTTTGAAACTTGGAGAGGAAAAGGCCAACCACGTCCCTGTCCCCCCTGGCTCTCTGAAATCGCTGCCATCAGCTCTAAGGCTGAAATGGATACCCATCTATAACCGAGCCCAGACGGCTGCCCAGGGATACCAGGCTAGTGCTGGGTTGAAAGGAGAAAACCCCCCCCCCACAACTCCAGACTGCTCAAACTATTAAAAACAAAAAACAAAAGCACGATCTCTTGCTGTCTCTCCACAACTCACTGGTGCAAATCTTCTTGGCGTTGGCACAGGCAGAGGTGTTGGCCCTGGCACCGCAGTTTTGCATAGAGGCCCTTCTTCCAGGCAACAGGGGCTCTGCGGGGAAAGAGGGCTGCTGGAAAATTTACCCATCGAGCTGCTACTAATCCGTCGATAGGACCTGGTGCTCTCTGAGCTGTAGGTGAAAAGAAACCGCCTCAGAAATCACTCTTGGACCGGTGGGAAGCAGGGGTGGCGTTCAGCAGGTTCTGACCACTTCTGGAGAACCGGTAGCGGAAATTTTGAATCGTTTGGAGAACCGGCAAATCCCGCCTCTGACTGGCCCCGCCCCCATCTATTCTCCGCCTCCCCAGTCCCAGCTGATTGGCTGGGTCTCCTTTGGTTGCCCTGCACAGGAGAACGGAGCTGGAAAGCAGGTTAGTGGGGTAGGGAGGGAATGGCGATTTTGCAGCATATCCTTCCCCTGCCACACCCTCCAAGCCACACCACACCCACCAAGCCACACCACGCCCACCAAGCCGTGCCTACAGAACTGGTAGTAAAATAATTTGAATACCACGATAGATAGGGAGTGTCTTCTTGTGGGACTGTCGAAAGAGATACCTCTTTAGCATGGGAAATAGACTTCCTGAGCTAATAGTCCACCTCACCTTCATGGTAAGAGTGGTTTAATAATGAAAGAGGCTTCCTCGGAAGAATGACTTGATGGTGTAGAGAAGTCACACTCTGTGTGATGAAGAAGCTTTCCTGCCTATCTAGTTAACAGTAACACTCGCA